GGAAAGATCTTTTAGACACTCTTCATTTTAGCTTTACTTTATTTTGGCAATTTATCCTGGCAAAGTTTCTGTAATATAGTAGGGTGCTCAACAGACACCTTTTTGAGTGAATGAACACTAGAACTGAAAGTTAAAGGGATCACTGGCTTTCCCCTTGTTATTTATTTTTCCTTTGAGGATATTCACATACGAATTTTAGGTCATTTTCTATTACTTTGGTGCTGCCAATCACTAATTGGGCAATGCCAATAATGAAGCATTTTTCTTGCCATCATAAAAGTTATTTTTGGCTGGGTGTCGTGGCTCATGCCTGTAATCACAGCACTTTGGGAGGCTGAGGTGGGCAGATCACGAGGTCAGGAGTTCGAGACCAGCCTGGCCAACGTGGTGAAACTCCGTCTCTACTAAAAATACAAAAATTAGTCGGGCGTGGTGGCACATGCCTATAATCCTAGCTACTCAGGAGGCTGAGGCAGGAGAATTGCTTGAACCCGGGAGGCAGAGGTTGCAGTGAGCTGAGATTGCACCACTGCACTCGAGCCTGGGGGACACAGCAAGAGTCCGTCTCAGAAAAAAAAAAAAAAGTTACTTTTATTACAAATAGAATGGCAGAATATAAAAAGTAATCCTTACGCCTCTTCATATAGACTTTAAAAACTGCAACAGTTCATTCAGTATAGCAATTAATTTTTGCTCAAGAAATAAAAATCTTAATCTTACACATTTTAAAGACTGCGAAAGAAAAACAAAAAGTATAAAAGTTTATAATGTCCCTCCAAGGTTCACCAAAACAAATAAATAATAATGACCATCATGAAGGTTTATACATTACTTTAAGCAAATGCTTTTGACACTTTTAAGGAAAGTTTTTTCTCCCCAATTGTCCAATTGAGAAGTTTTTCTTCCCCCTGCAATTTCTGTACTCTGGTATCCATAGTCAAGACAGATGTTATCTATGAAAGGAAAAACTTGGCTCTAAGTTCTCTCAGTTGAGCTAGCCTTCTCTGATCAGTTTGGAAGTTCAACACTGGTTCTTTGCACACCCCTAAGTGATATGTATCAGGGAGAAAGTAGCTAGGGGACTGATCAGCAAAAAAGAAAAAAAGGAAAAGAAAGGATGCAAAATTACAATGATTTTTGAAAGAAAATAAAGGGGGAGAAGAAAGACAACATAAAAAGAATAGGGTATAATTAAATTCATTTTCTCTCTGAATACATATTTTTATCTTCATGCAGCTTTTCAACCAGCCATGCGCCGAAATAAGCAAATTGAAAGCTGCAAAAGCTGCAGCAGTGGAAGTGTTATGTGTTAGGCCGAAAGGCTGTGGGTGTGAATTTACTAGTAGAGCCAAAAGAAAAAAAAAAGTATTCAGCAGCTGTTGTTCAGTTCTGGGGGGATTATCTGCTTAGTGCCATGACAAGAGCAAATTCTGATTGAGAAGCACAAGTCATAACAGCAGCTTTACCTCTGGCCCACCAACCTTTCTTTCCGAGGGAAGCATAGAAGTTTTCTTCACCTGGTCATACACAAATTATATAAAATTCAGTTGCCTTGCAATGCAACAACAATACCATCAAAGGTGGAAGAGGTATCCCCAGAGAACAGAAATAGTATCCCAATTGTTAAAGAAAAAGTAAGATATGCCAGAAAGTAGAATTACCCAATATTAAAGGTCACCATAATACAGTGCTTATTTATTCTACTATTCCTTTACAGGGATAATAGCATAGAGCTAAAATTGTTCAAGTACTCCCATGGATCTTGTTTAGTTTATAAAAAGTTATTTCTTTAAAGAACACAGAATGACATCACCATTCCCAAAACCAACCCTGAGAAGATTTCTGAAAGGTTTCTATTAAAAGACGTAAGATAATTTCTGGAAACGGAGACCAATTCAAATTTACTCAACCTCATCCAAGAGAGTACCAAGTTACTTTTTCAAAGTAGTTGAGCATCTTTTATTACTTGCACAGAGTCAAAAAGAAAACTTCTAGAAAATACGCAGTTATAGTTTGCAGACTGGGCTAACCAGGTGAAACAGCGACAAGGCATTTTCTCATGGAGTCATAGACTTACAGAATTTTAGAGTTCACAGGGACCTTAAAGATCATCTACTCCATAAACTGAGGCCCAATATGATAAATTACTTGTTCAGAATTGTTCAATTCGGTTTTGACTAGCCAGACCCTCTAAATCAAATCAAGCCACAACCAGAACTACTAGACCCTTTATGACTCTTATTAGTAGAGATACATCAAAATTAAGTATCCTACTGACACTGAAAACAGTGGTCTTGCCCAGAAAGCAGAGTTATTGTCTCAGTTCAGGATACATGCTCTAGATTTAGAACATAAAACTAATGTCCATTTATAGAAAATGGAGGCTGAGAGGACACTAAGTAGCAAACAATAGCATCCTATCATCCCTGGTATCTCTATTTAGCTGCCCATTACTCAGGTATTCTCCAGCCTTATTTGTGAAACTGGTTCAGCTCTATCTGGAGAACTGTTAGCCAATTTTAGTCACACTTTGAAAAATACAAAAAGTACCCTTTGTGAACCAACTTTTTTTTTTTTTTTAAGACGGAGTCTTGCTCTGTTGCCTAGGCTAGAGTGTAGTGGCGCGATCTCAGTTCACTGCAATCTCTGCCTCCTGGGTTCAAGCGATTCTCCTGCCTCAGCCTCCCAAGTAGCTGAGATTACAGGCACACGCCACCATGCCTGGCTAATTTTTTTGTATTTTTTGTAGAGATGGGATTTCGCCACGTTGGCCAGGCTGGTCTCAAACTCCTGACCTCAAGTGATCCGCCCGCCTCAGCCTCCCAAAGTGCTAGGATTATAGGCGTGAGCCACCACGTCCAGCCTGTGAACCAACTTTTACTACCTTCTCCAGTTCCAGAAACTAAATAATAATTTGGATAGTTTACCATAAATTCTGAAAATTTAAAAAAAAAAAAAAGTTTTAGCCAGGTGCAGTGGCTCATGCCTGTAATCTCAGTACTTTGGGAGGCTGAGGCAGGTGGATCGCCTGAGGTCAGGAGTTTGAGACCACCCTGGCCAAGGTAGTGAAACCCCATCTCTACTAAAAATACAAGAAATTAGCTGGGCGTGAAGGCAGGCGCCTGTAATCCCAGCTACTAGGGAGGCTAAGGCAGGAGAATCACTTGAAGCCGGGAGGTGGAGGTTGCAGTGAGCCGAGATCATGCCATTGCACTCCAGCCTGGGCAACAAGAGCGAAACTCCATCTCAAAAAAAGAAAAAAAAAAGTTTTAAAATTATTAAGACATCATTTTACCTTTTTTAACTAGAACTGCTATTGTTTTTGGGGAAAAACAAGCACATAATTTTTAAATCATAATCACTTATTGAGTGATTGTGACTATATAAATATTTCACTTGTACTGACTAAAGATAAAAACTTTTGGGGTATATGTTCATGGTAACTTTCAAGATATTTTCATTAAATGTTTAACAGATTCATTTATTCAGATGTAGGATTTCTTTTTTTCTTTTTCTTTTTTTTTTTTTGAGACGGAGTCTCACTCTGTTGCCCTATCTGGAGTGCAGTGGCACGATCTTGGCTCACTGCAATCTCCGCCTCCCAGGTTCAAGAAATTCTCCTACCTCAGCCTCCTGAGTAGCTGGGATTACAGGCATGCGTCACCATGCCTGGCTAATTTTTGTATTTTTAGTAGATACGGGGTTCACCATGCTGGCCAGGCTGGTCTCGAACTCCTGACCTCGTGATCCGCCCACCTCAGCCTCCCAAAGTGCTGGGATTACAGGTGTGAGCCACCACGCCCGGCCCAGATGTAGGATTTCTAAAATAGGTAATGACAACAATAAAAGAAAAAGAAGAGCCCCTGAGCTCTAATTGTGACTATCTCACACAACAGTGTATTAAAAGTTTAATGTTACTCATAAAGATAAAATAAATAGTTTTCCTTTTCCTTTCTTTTGAGACAGGGTCTCACTCTGTCACCCAAGCCGGAGTGCAGTGGTGCAATCATGGCTCACTGCAGCCTTGGTCTCCTGGCTCAAGCAATCCTCCTGTTTCAGCCCCTTGAATAGCTGGACTACACAGGTGCGCACCACTATACCTGACTAATTTTTGTAGAGATGGGGTTTTGCCATGTTGCCCAGGCTGGTCTTAAACTCCTGGACTCAAGCGATCAGGGATTACAGGCATGAGCCATGGTGACCAGCCCACAGTTTTTCTAAAATTGAAATACAATAATTAATATTTGGAGTTCTTAATTCTCTGGCTTAGGGGGCTCCTTGGTTTACTATATAATTGTGGGGAACCATTCAGATATTTCTAAGTTGTGTAAATGTTCAAATAAAGCTCTTTTTTTTTTTCCCCAAGACAGAGTCTCGCTCTGTCGCCCAGGCTGGAGTGCAGTGGCACGATCACGGCTCACTGCAAGCTCTGCCTCCCGGGTTCACGCCATTCTCCTGCCTCAGCCTCCCAAGTAGCTGGGACTACAGGCGCCCGCCAACACGCCTGGCTAATTTTTTTGTATTTTTAGTAGAGACGGGGTTTCACCATGGTCTTGATCTTCTGACCTCGTGATCCACTCGCCTCGGCCTCCCAAAGCAAATAAAGCTTTTTAAAAAGACTAATCTCTTTCCTATTTTGACTTCCTAAATTTAGTAAACTTTCGAGTCCCTGAAGGCACAGTTTGAATACAAATAAACTTCTACTGGCTTATGGTCAGTTTATAAACAATCATTAGCCAGAAGCATGTAGCTGCAGAGATAGTTCTCAGAGGCTAATCATCTCCTGGTGGCTCCAAATGGCTCCTACAATTGGACTGGGTAGCCTATATGACTTAAAAAAAGTAAGTATTTGATTACAAATGCCTTAAAGCAGCAATGAATATAGTGAGGCACCAAATCCAAATTTCAGCTCTAAGCTTTCTCTCAGATACAGAATATTAATACATAAAAACATTTATTTCCTCCATTTTCACAATTGGTCATGTGGACAAAGTACTCACTCCTTCTCCTGTGGGGATTTGCCCATTGACGTTAAGAGTTCGGAAGGGGGAATGAGTGGATAAGCGTTTATCCCATTCACTAGGCCGTGGTTCTGGTACAGACTCCATGAAGTTCTTTTTCAGCTCACTAATGCTAGCATGATGTTTTCTGATCTCCTCTTGACTCTTGTCTAAATCCTGTAGTTGAAAGGACAAAGATGCAAAACAATACATAATCAGGACAAACAACATAACCAAGGGCAACCCGTCAGAGACTGGGCACTGGTAGAAAACACACCACATCCAGGACAGATGTTACTAATCTGCATTCAGATTATAAATATACAACATGGTATATTTGCTTGCCTTTTTTTTTCTTTAAATAAAGTGCTTTTCTTGGAAGCTGTGAAGTATCACAACTCCATAGCTGTTAGCAGTTATATAACCCATAAAGAACTCACGCCTTAATTTATGACTCTTCTTCCCATGTGACACAGCACTAGATCTCTAACTCCTCATCCCAAGAAGGTAGTTCCACAACTCAATTAGCCTCAGCTTGATAAGACATTATTTTAGGCTCAGCTCAGGAGGATGGAGATAGCAATAGATAACCAAACTGTTTAATGAAGGCATGGTGAAACATACAATCCACCATTGACTGCCTTGTCTTGTTGAGTTGCAAACATACAGTATCATTCTATTTCTACCTGGAGATGGTTTACTTCTCTATTACTAGGTGGCTGTTTTTGCTTTTTGATAAACAAGAATAGCCCTTTTTTGATGTAAGAATTTATTACTGAAATTCCTAGTTAAAGGCTCCAGAGCTGACTGTTACTACCTCTGAAAAATCACCCAGAGGTACATAACACAATGACATTTTTTCTTTGTCAATAATAGGCACATAAACTAAAACCCTTAGGCTTTCTAGCCTCTAACAGCTTCACTTCATTACTTAGTACAACTCAAACCAGGGACCTCTTCCAATGACCTTCAAAGGATTGAGAGTGAGTTAACAAGAGTTCACCAAATACCTTATATATCTCCTTGACAATTTAAAATAACTCAACTGTTCCAGCAGATTAAATTTTCTTTTTAATTTTTGTGGGTACATAGTAGGTATATATTCTAGCAAATTTGAATATTGGGCAACCTGAGGTACAGGCAAGCTATTAAAGGGATATTCCAGGGAGAAATGAACGAAGCTTAGGTTAATAAAGCATGAGCTAGAAATAATATTCAGGTTTATGTAAAAGGAGGTATATAACAACTTTCAAAAAGGGGACTTGGCCAAAAATAATCTGGTAAATATACTTGAAGACAAAAACTCAAATGTTCTTTGTCCAACAACACTTCAAAAAACCTTAAAAGATCTATGCTTGAGATCAAAACATGTGGGAGCCTATCACTTGATGACTGCAAAAAATTTATTACATATCAAGGCAGCTCTGTATCCAAGAAAAGCATAATGCTAAATACATTTCCTAATATGCTAGGTGAATTTTGGATTTAGTCTTTCTTTTTTGGCTCTGTAGGAAATAGCTATATTGGGGTAAAAAATTAGAATTCATGTCAATAAAATTTTGCTTACAAGTTTTTTCTGAGGGTAATACAGGTTTTAACTAAATAAAACTCTTTCAAAAGCAATGTCAAAGGGAAAACAGCATAAGAATAATCAGTGAGATGATTTTGATTCTGGAGATATTCATTCAGAAAAATCATTAACTAGTCTATTTCTTTTTATTTTTGCAAGACTGAACCATGTATACCTGCTTTAAGATCAAATAGAAAGCTAACTCCAAAAGGGCGATCCTGTAGCATCCAGAAGAGCATGTTTCGCATGTTGGGATGAAATGTGAGTATATTTTATGAATATGGACTTTGCTATGGGGAAAAGAGCAGTTTGCACTTTTGTTCTAGCTGAAAGCAAGAAAAGCATGTCTAGTAGCTAAAGAAAAGCATGAACAAGCCCATTCAAAGACCCAGTGTTAGACTGAGCAACCAGACCCACCAGGCATGTAAGGTCCCATGACCCAGCTCCTCACTGGTAATTAAAATCTGTTTGGGCCAAGACCAACTTAATACATTTGGGAAGGTTAAAAGTGTGAATAGAGCAAAACAAAAATGAGCAAGAGATGCTATGTAAAATGATAACTCTCTGAGTTAACCTCTTAGTATAAGAGACTTGTGATTTGCTACTCTTCTTGCCTAGCTTCGGATTGGCTTGGAACCTGAGAAAATAAATATTTTGGTAAAACCAGTAGCTTCTGAGGGAGCTTTCTCCATCCTTCTTAGCTGGCTTTGTTGGAAACCTGTGGGGGCACAGAGTAAAATTAAGATCTCAAAGGGACCTGTTCCAAATAGAATTTGTCATAGACAACTTGCTACAGGTTCTCTCTGGGAGATGGAGGAGGCGGTAGATCTAAAAATGAACTCGACCTTATTTGTGCCAGAACAAAGCATTAGTGGGGGCGGGGTAGGAGAAGAGGGAGGAGGGATGCTTTAAAAAAAAAAAAAAAGCCTGCTGGAGTGACAGATAACTTGAGAGAACTTCCTTACTGGGGACAAACTTTATAATAACTAAAGAATGATGGCCAAATTACTTTGGCTGTGTTCAGGTTAGACACTTTTTGATGCCTATCACTTCATAATTTTAGCAGCAATCAAACCAAACACTTCATTAAATATAAAATGTTCTCAAAAGGCAGTTAGTGGTTTTAATTTTCAAACACACTTATTTAGAAATCCCCTCTCATGGCTGTCAATGAAATGCTGAGGGAAAAACACATCACACACAGGGACTTTGTGAGTCTCAGAAGCCATAACACACCTCATGGAACAAATGACAAATATATGATTGGTACTGTAGGTTCCAGTTAAGAGGAAGCACTGAAGATGAACTAGTCAGGAAATATGCATGTTTAGAATTTCAAGATGTTACACTGCCAAATAAAGGAAATCAACCAACATTCACTATTCTTCCTAGTCTCTGAAGATGGAACTACTCAGGTCTAGTTTCAGATATGGGCTAAAACAAAGAGATCTAGTTGCCAATTTTGAAATATCTGAGGATCCAGCCTTGAAAAACTTCATGTTGAACGAGATAAATATATGTAAAGCACTTGGTATTGCACCCACCATGCAATACATGTTTAATGAAGGCTGGGCATAATTTTTCTCAAAGCCTTTATATGTAACAAGTACTCAAAATACAGATATTGACAAGGAATAAGATGAGGTTTAAATAATTATTAGAGGCTATATATTAAGCCAGAGATCTATCTAGTTTTTAAAGTTTAGGTTGGGTCCAGTGGCTTATGCCTGTAACCCCAGCACTTTGGGAGGCTAAGGCAGAAGGATCACTTGAGTCCAGGAGTTTAAGACCAGCCTGGGCAACATGTTGAGATCCTGTCTCTACCAAAATTTAAAAATTAGCTGGGCATTGTGGCATGCACCCATAGCCCCAGCGACTCAGGAGATTGAGATGGGAGGATTGTTTGGGCCCAGGAGGCTGAGGGTGCAGTAAGCAGTGATTGTGCCACTGCACTCCAGCCTGGGTAATTCTGTGAGACCCTGCCTCAAAAAAAAAAAAAAAAAAAAAAAAAAGGCCGGGCACAGTGGCTCATGCCTGTAATCCCAGCACTTTGGGAGGCCAAGGCGGGCGGATCATGAGGTCAGGAGATCAAGACCATCCTGGCTAACACAGTGAAACCCCGTCTCTACTAAAAATAGAAAAAATTAGCTGGGCGTGGTGGCGGGCGCCTGTAGTACCAGCTACTCAGGAGGCTGAGGCAGGAGAACGGCCTGAACCCAGGAGGCGGAGCTTGCAGTGAGCCGAGATCGTGCCACTGCACTCCAGCCTGGGCAACAGAGCCAGACTGTCTCAAAAAAAAAAAAAAAAGAAAAGAAAAGAAAAAAAAAAGAAATGCTCATTACCCTGTTGTAATTTTCAATGAAAGAACTAATTCCTTAGAGGATATATAAGAAAAACAACAGAAATTCAAGAATCTCCTTTATAGGCCAGGCGCGGTGGCTCATGCCTGTAATTCCAGCACTTTGGGAGGCCAAGGTGGGTGGATCACGAGGTCAGGAGATTGAGACCATCCTGGCTAACACAATGAAACCCATCACTACTAAAAAATACAAAAAATTAGCCAGGCGTGGTGGCAGGCGCCTGTAGTTCCAGTTACTTGGGAGGCTGAGGCAGGAGAATGGCATGAACCTGAGAGGCGGAGCTTGCAGTGAGCCAAGATCACGCCACTGCACTCTAGACTGGGCAACAGAGCAAGATGCCATCTCAAAAAATATATATATACATGTATATATATATATATATATGACCAATGTTGAATATAATGGGAAAATAATCTCACAACTCTTATAGCAGACAGCATGTTGCTGTTTCTGAGTGGAAAACAGTGTGGTTTAATAGAGTTGGATAGATCTTCACATCTTGGCTTTCCAGTTCTGGGACTACAGGGAAATTACTTAATCTCTTTGAGCTTCAACTTTCTCATCTTTAAAATAACAATCCCATACCCACAGGCCTGTTTTTATGATTAAACCATCTTATAGTAACTACTCATTAAATGCTAGGCTCCCCTCTTTCCTTCTTATAGCTTTCTTTTTTTCCCCCCCGACAGTTCTTCTGTCATTTTTCTATTATCTCCAATATTTTAAGTCCATTTTTAATTCCCTACTTTTTCACACTCTCTTAGTTCAGAAAATAAAAGAATAGTGCAAATTTGCATCTTGGGACACATGGAAGTTTATACTCTTGGAAAATTAAAGGAACTTTTAGCAATGATGTAGAACTTTCTAACGGTGGGTAAAACAATGGAACCATGAGAGGTAGAGGTAGTCCCAATCATATATTTTTCCGGGTAAGTATGACAGATAGAAACTAAAAAGAATCAGAAGGCGAGATGTTTGCATATCTTCATGTTCACCAACATGCAAAAGCATTTTAAACCTAAAGTTCCTTCATGCAATGGCATGCAAAACCAAATGCAGCACAGAATGAAGAAAAGGGGATCAGCAAAGAATGCAGAAGGTTCCAGGCAACCAACTGAAATAAGCTTCAAGTTCATACAAACCTCCAACATTAAATTGCTATGTCTGATATAAATGTTTTCACCATCTAGTCTTTCTCTCTTTTTCTGTGAAAATGAAAGGGGGGAAAAACAGAAAAGCATAAAAAATTAAAATGTTGTTCTTGCGGGAAAAAACTGAAAATTGGCAAACCAAAAAATATTTAAAATTAAATGTCCACAGCGCAGCATATGCCAACATGAAATGGTCAGAGTCACAAGGACACACAGAGAACATGATTACCACGAGAAAACGATGACCTTGTTCATGAATGATGAAAGAATGTGATGATGTTATTCAAATAGACAGTGCTCCTGGCTTCATTGGCTTCTTATGTAACAAGCTGTTTTATGTTCATTTTTGAAATTGAACTCTTTGAGGGTTACCTTAAAACATATGACTCTAAAAAACACTGAAACTCCAGGTATCATAGAGTGAAGAAATGCTTTAAAAACATTATTTAGCTTTTGGGATGTATTTTATACTTAGTGACACTGAGTATAATTAGAGATTTTATAATCTCTAATTATAAAATCTAATAAAAAATTAGACCTCTTTTATAAAAAAAGATCTAAGAAAGATTATCATTTTATACATGATCAGCCAATAAATGTATTCAGTTAACTGATTCAGACTGATTCATCCCACTCTATAGATGAAAAGAATGAGGCACAGAGAAGTCAAACCCATAGTTATACACAGTACTGAGGCTGCTGCTACAGAGGGTGTTTTTCTGGAGACAGGGTCTTACTCTCTCACCTAGGTGGAATGTAGTGGTACAGTTGTGGCTCACTGCAGCCTTAAGCTCCTGGACTCAAGTGAGCCTCCTGCCTCAGCCTCCCAAGTAACTTGGACCATAGGAGTGTATCACCATGCCTGGTTAAATTATTTATTTATTTATTTATTTATTTATTTATTTTTATTTTATTTTATTTTTTTGAGACGGAGTCTCGCTCTGTTGCCCAGGCTGGAGTGCAGTGGCCGGATCTCAGCTCACTGCAAGAAATTCCGCCTCCTGGGTTTACGCCATTCTCCTGCCTCAGCCTCCCGAGTAGCTGGGACTACAGGCGCCTGCCACCTCACCCGGCTAGTTTTTTGTATTTTTTTAGTAGAGACGGGGTTTCACCATGTTAGCCAGGATGGTCTCTATCTCCTGACCTCGTGATCCGCCTGTCTCGGCCTCCCAAAGTGCTGGGATTACAGGCTTGAGCCACCGTGCCCGGCTATTTTTTTTTTTTTTTTGAAGTGATGGGGTCTCCCTATGTTGCCCAGGCTGGTCTTGAACTCCTGGACTCAAGGGATCCTCTTGCCTCAACCTCCTAAACTGCTGGGATTACAAGTGTGAGCCATCACACCCAGCTATGATGGTTTTCATTTTATGATAAATGTGTATAAAATATTATCAATCATTCTAAGAATATGATGTCATTGTGAAATAGTTCTTATACATTTTTAAATATAAAAGATAGGTTTGACTCTCACTGTTTAATGAAAAGTTTAATGAAACTTTTCAACATATAGTATAGGATTATGGTTTCTTCAGTTTATGTAAATATATGTGTATAGCTGTCACCCAGGCTGGAGCACGGTAGCATGATCTCAGCTCACTGTAACCTCCATCTCCCAGGTTCAAGCGATTCTCATGCCTCAGTCTCCCAAGTAGCTGGGACTAAAGGCGTGCACCAACACACCTGGCTAATTTTTGTATTTTTAGTAGAGACGTGGTTTCACCACATTGGCCAGGCTGGTCTCAAACTCCTGACCGCAAGGGATCCTCCTGCCTCGGCCTCTCAAAGTGCTGGGATTATAGGCGTGAGCCAATGCGCCTGGCCCATATCCGTTATTTGAAAGTATTAACAACTCCTGATCAAAAGAAATCAATGAAAAGAATGGATCACTGTCTTTTTAATGCATTGTAAGTCAGCATGGGTGAAATGGCAATGTAGTTTTGTGAAAGTGAAAAATGGCTAACCTTCCTCATTCTTATCAGATCTTCAGTTTTTCCTGCAAGCTTCTGTTTTGCCATAATTTAAAAAAGAAAGAAAAATGATAAAATGTTGCTCATTGAAGTTTGTTTGAACCTTCATTTTATAATTTTAAGGAAAAGGGAGTAAGGGAGAAGAAAAAAACTGAGGGGGTGGAGGGAAAGAGGAACAAGTGGCCTATTGGCACAAACCTGTGTTTGGTCACCATTTGAGGTGGGCACTGTCACCTCGATGTGGGTTTTTTCCACCTACATTTAAGAAATAAAGTAGTAAAAACATTTTAGGTTAGTAGGTTTCTATGAATAGTGTTGTTTCCAAATAAGCTGCATCTTTAAGTTGGTTGTGAAATACGCTGATATGTAATCATCATGATGCAGTCTTATGGAGGGTGTTACAGGAAGGATATTACTCCCTTCCTGTCATCTGTGTTTACCATCACATTTTCAAGGCTGAAAAGGTAATATGGATATCCAAATTATCAAAAAAGAAAATTAAGGTAAGTATTCTATTGATGAAGAAAATATATTTTTATACTTATTTATAAAAAAGTATCCACTTAAAAGAATAATTTAGGCTTATTTAATGCAATAGCCATGTTTTTGTTTTGCCTTTAAAAATGATCTGGAAGTACTTTAAGTAACATTTAAAAACAAATTTACATATGAAGTTATCAACATATGACATATATGACAGGAAGAAAAAGAAAATCTTTAGTTAAAGCACACATGTAATAAACTACATATGACACCAAACTGGTAAACACAAAGGATTTTGTTAGTTGAACAATATACTTAAGGAGGCACTTCATTCTTCAGTTTATTACACAACAAAACATTACAATAAACCCAATTTAAATTGTAACTGACACATGAAATTACTCCCAGGGCTGGTTATAAACAAGCACATGCAGGATTCAGCTGCAACATTCAACACACTGCAATCTTCTCTAGGAGGGTGGAGCCTATGTGTTTGGTAGAAGGGCAAGATTCATCCTTAGTATTAATAGTAGAAAGAGAATAGCTGAGGTCTCCTGCCTAGCTTTGAAATACCTTTAGTAATGTCATTTTATACATAGAAAATGGAGTAATTATTTTTAAAAAAAAAACAACAGGCTATTAAGAGGGAGCATAATAGAGTGAGCAATGCACAAAGCATTGGCTATTTTAAATAAAAAAATTGATTTTTTTTACTAAGGGCTAAATCACTTTGTATCATTAAGTTCTTTACAGAACCTCATCAATCTGTGGTGTTGATATTCTTTTTAATCACACTAAGCAGCATTACTTTGGAATATAATGTCATTGTGCTATTTTCCCTAGACTGAGTCTAAAAAACCTGAGAGAGCTACAAAATTAGTGACACTGTCAAGTGTTAAGTTAAGCACACCCCATTACAGCACTTTAACTACCAGGGGTAATTAACCGTTTTGGGTCATTTCTACTTTAAGTCCCAGCATACTTGTTGTGTGGTCATTAACAAGTTTTTTTTACCCCTCAGAGCCTACATTTCTTATGGATAAAATGGAGATAATGTCTTCCTAGAATTGTGCATTTAGCAAACAATAATGTTAAATTATTTTACAGGCCTGGAGCGGTGACTCATGCCTGTAATCTCAGCACTTTGGGAGGCCGAGGCGGGTGGATCACAAGGTCAGGAGTTCAAGACCAGCCTGGCCAAGATGGTGAAACCCCGTCTCTACTAAAAATACAAAACAATTAGCCGGGCGTGGTGGCACACACCTGTAATCCCAGCTACTCCGGAGGCTGAGGCACAGAATTGCTTAAACCTGGAGGGGCAGAGGTTGCAGTGAACTAATATCGCTCCACTGCACTCCAGCCTGGGCGACAGAGCGAGACTCCGTCTTAAAAAAAAAAAAAAATGTATTTTACAAAGCTTAAATTCCTCATTCAAATGAATAATGACTTCTTTTTGCTTTGGATCTTTATCAATCCAATAGCAGAAAATTGAGAGCCTCTACTTCAGTTTAAGAATTGAGGCAAGCTGGGCACGGTGGCTCAGCCTGTAATTCCAGTACTTTGGGAGGCAGGTGGATCACCTGAGGTCAGGAGTTCGAGACAATCCTGGCTAACATAGTGAAACCTTGTCTCTACTAAAAATATAAAAATTAACTGGGCGGGTGGTGGGCACCTGTAATCCAGCTACTCAGGAGGCTGAGGCAGGAGAATCGCTTGAACCTGGGAGGTGGAGGTTGCAGTGAGCTGAGATCGCACCATTGCACTCCAGCCTGGGTGACAGAGCAAGACTCCATCTCAAAAAAAAAGAATTGAGGCCAAGTAACAACAGTATTTCTGTGTATGCCCCTACATAGAACATTAAATGAGATAACAATATACATGGGGGAGATAGTACCTACTGCCATACTTGCAGAATAGACCTCGTTAAAATGACAACAAAAAGCTATCTCTATCTCAAACTAATGTCAGATAATGAAATTTATAGTTACAAGGCTACTTTATCACTACTATTGCTTTATACAATAAATATGGCTTCAGGTAAATGCCATAGTTTTGTTTTGTTTTTTTTGAGACAGAGTCTTGTGCTGTTGCCCAGGCTGGTGTGCAGTGGTGCGATCTCGGCTCACTGCGACCTCTGTCTTCCAGGTTCAAGTGATTCTCCTGCCTCAGCCTCCCAAATAGCTGGGATTACAGGTGTCTGCCAGCATGCCCAGCTAATTTTTGTTATTTTCAGTAGAGACGGGGTTTCGTCATGTTGGCCAGGCTGTGATCCACCTGTCTTGGCCTCCCAAATTGCTGGGATTACAGGCGTGAGCCACTGTACCTGCCACCAGAGTTATTTTCTAACTGCTACATGTAAAAGCAGCTCAGAGTCACCCTTAATTCTGCCACCACCATTACTACAATAATTTATCAGAGGTGGTCTTCAGTCTCATTTCAACACAAGTGTCTCAAATCATATATTTATGTAGAATTAATTGGCAACAAAGACCCCCTATTGGCTTGGAAAGCTTATACCAGGTAGTGATCTCTTTACTCTGCCAGTTCCCAAGAACAAAGGGAGCCTATTGTTGAAGATATTTATGTCTATGATACAGGCAAAAAGGAGTAAAAGTAAGTCAGCAGAAAGCCAGAGGAATCTTAGCCACTAGGAAGATTCCCCTGACAATTCCAGTAATCTAACACTTTTTAGTTAGTATAACAAATGGAGGGATAGTAAAAAGTGCCTGGTGAGATATTCTAACATCAAAAACTAAGGAGGTAGTCTAACATTAAACAGGCATTGTTGACACTGAACCTGAAGACCAATGTCATAAATATTTGGCTACATACAAAAATGTAAACACCTACCATTCACTCAATCTGTTTTTCTCTCTGGACTCAAGGTAGTCCCAAATGGACAGTAAAACTGTATGTCATATTTAACAGTTTGCTTTTTTCTTTATTATTATTTTTTGAAACAGAGTCTTGCTCTGTTACTCAGGCTGTAGTACAGTGGTGTGATCAGGGCTCACTGCAACCTCTGCCTCCCAGGTTCAGGGAATTCTGCCTCAACCTCCCCAGTAGCTGGGATTACAGGCGCCTGCCACCATGCCCAGCTAATTTCTGTATTTTTAGTAGAGATGGGGTTTCACCATTTGAGACAGGGTATCACTTTGTCACCCTGGCTGCAGTGGAGTGGTGTAATCTCGGCTCACTGAAGCCTCCTCAATCTCTCAGGTTCAAGCTATCCTTCTGTCTCAGCCCCGCAAGGAGCTGGGACTACAGATGTGCGTCACCATACCCAGCTAGTTTTTGTATTTTTTGTAGACATGGGGTTTCGCCATTTTGCCAAAGCTGGTCTTGAACTCCTGGGCTCAAGGGATCCGCCCGCCTTGCTCTCCCAAAGTGCTAGGATTACAGGTGAGAGCCTCCAAACCTGGTCTAACAGTTTTTGTTTTGTTTTGTTTAAATACAATCAAAACAGAGTTAGACTGTCCACTGCTCTAGAAATAAACTAGATATTGATCTGGCTCCAAAAGAACAAGGTTAATCCATCTGCCAAAGCGAGGACACTTACTAAGATCTTACTCAGTTTAAATTTTTTTTTTAATTTCTTAACAGACATAAACATGTAATTCTCCTTATAAAGACTGCTTCTCATAATTCCTGTTGCCAACAGTAAGACCTATATTTATTTATTTCAATAAATCTGAGCTAGCACTTCGATTCCATCACTGCTTAAATGTGTTTACAAAGCTTAACACATAAAAGGTCAGTCTAATCACCGTCTGGGAAATCTGCTAATTAAATTGGTGATTTTTCAACACAGTGCAGTGACTGTGGATACAACTAACTCAGAACCATGGGTAACTCAGCAGTACAACCTCTCCTACATAATGGATCTTCTCCTTTTTGTAACGCTACTTAAGATTTGAGCAACCACATAGATGTGCTTTATGTAATACCTATTCTTTGGAAATGCTGTGCATACATCCATCTTAGAAAATAAAATTATATTTTAATCACAATAGCAGAGCTTAGTCTTAAAAATCTATGTAGCAATTCCTTCTAGATGAGTAAAAATTATTTTAAAAAGCAGAGGATCAATCATACTGGTGTGTTATATAAGTTCATTTAGAAAAATAATAGTTGGGTCAAGGAGTGGGTCACCTTATAACTTCTGAGATAGCTTACAGTCTTATTGACATAACTCTATGAAAATATTTTACAGGTTCATGGGAGACATCTTCATTTAGAAAGAAAGGAATAACTTTGTTGAGTCTATGAGAATAAGCAATTGCTTTGAACATGTTCCTGGTCAAAATGTTAAGGCTTCTAAATCACAAAGTGAGTTAGCTAGGTATTTGGACTGATGACATACCTTCCATGCTTCTGTGGGCTCTGGCTCAGCTTGCTCAGGTGGCTCGTCTTCCTTTTTCACTTCAGCCTTCACTGTTTCCTTCTGTGCTTTAGGGACCACTGCTTTTTTAGCAGAGGCATCTAGGATGCCACCTTCTGCAACCTGACCCTGAGCAATGGCGGGTGCAGAAGTGGGCCGAGGACTTCGGTCTGCCGAATCGACAGCTGCTGCTATGTGAGAAAGGGAAAAGGGAAGAATAAGTAAAGGCCAGAGCTACTGTATTATTTCAAAGTCACCAGGCAAAATAACTGTGAATCCAGGGCACACACAAATGTTACAGTGTGTAGTGGGCTATCATACAGAGGGTAAAACATAAATCATTAGTGCTCTGCCAGGGAACTGACAGCAACAAGAAAGTTAAATGTACCATCAGTAGAAAGGCTAAAATGTGTTAATGATCATATTCCATGAATGCTGAATTCAGGGGAGACAAGATCAAAGAAAAGAAATAGAAAATCCATTTATCTTGTAATTTTAGTTTCAAAAACCTTCAATGTTGTCTATGGTGGGAAAAAGGGTCAACTAAATGTGATTTCTTCCATGAGGCTTTTTAAAAATAAAGATGTGTTCATTTTTAGGTTATTTCAGGAATCTAAAAATATATTGTAAGAAAAAAGAATTAAGTCTGATTTCTTCTGTAAGCCTCCTTGGAATGATTATAAAATAACTTGATAAATGGCTCTTCTGGTAAGACATGAACTACTTTCTGATGCTTGTAAGGACAAATCTTTGAACCAGATGCTCTCCCTTTTAATAATATGTCCTTTGATTAAAATAACACAAAATCAAAATCAAACCTAAACAAAAATATCTTTTGAGTTCTGTCCTACTATCTCTCAGTCTTACCAATTTGTATTATAGCTCTTATTCTCTAATATATTTAGGGCAGTGGTTCTCAACTGGAGTAAATTGTCCCCAGAGAATATTTGGCAATGTCTGGAGACATTTTTGGTTGTTGTAACTGAGGAGGGAAGAGAAAGGAGGTACTGGCATCCAGTGCATAGAGGCTGAAGTTACTGAGGTTGAGAAACCTTAATTTAGGGGAAAAGCTGTATACACTGTTTTAGAGAGAATAAACTATATGGGCTTATGATAAAATCTTGATCTTTTCTAAGAGCTAATTGTTGTGTTGGAATATTTGGTATCTAAGTTTTAGACAGCTTACTTCAAAACAATCACTCATACCCTTTTTGTGGTTTTTATGTTAATTCTTTCAGGGATATAAAACATTTACACTTTGTAATAAAACTTCACTTATCTGACAGTATCTAGGAATAAAAGTGTTTTCCGACATTGTGTTTCTGATAACATATTGTTATCCTCTTTTGTACTAAGACTTTTTTTTTTTTTTTTAGACAGAGGCTCTGTCACCTAGGCTAGAGTGCAATGGCACGATCTCCGCTCACTGCAATCTCTGCCTCTCAGGTTCAAGAGATTCTCCTGCCTCAGCCGCCCCAGTAGCTGGGACTACAGGCGTGTGTCACCATGCCCAGTTAATTTTTTGTATCTTTAGTAGAGACGGGGTCTCACCATGTTGGCCAGGCTTGTCTCAAACTCCTGACCTCAACTGATCTGCCTGCCTTGGCCTCCCAAAGTGCTGGGATTACAGACGTGAGCCACCGCGCCCGGCCAAGACTTTTATATTTTAATCAATTTGCATGGAAATCAGTAATTTTTATTATATACTTTCCTGCATTCTTAAACTGACTATAACTGAACATAATTCATCCTGAAATTTTTAGATTTATAAATTGTAAGGATCAGATAAAGGAATTCCATAAATCTGAACAGACAAAAACTTTAAATTCTCAACTACTTCATACAACAATATCAAGAAAGAAATGCTTGGCCAGGCGCAGTGGCTCACACCTGTAATCCCAGCACTTTGGGAGGCCAAGGTGGATGGATCACCTGAGGTGGGGAGTTCAAGACCAGCCTGGTCAACGTGGTAAAATGTCATCTCTACTAAAAGTACAAAAATTAGCCAAGCGTGGTGGTGGGTGCCTGTAGTCCCAGCTACTAGGGAGGCTGAGGCAGGAGAATGGCCTGAACCCAGGAGGCGGAGCTTGCGTGAGCTGAGATTGTGCCACTGCACTCCAGCCTGGGCAACAGAGCCAGACTCTCTCAAAAAAAAAAAAAGAAAAGAAAAGAAAAAGAAAAAGAAAGAAATGCTCATTACCCTGTAGTAATTTCCAATGAAAGAACTAATTCCTTAGAGAATACATAGGAAAAACAGCAGAAATTCAAGAATCCCCTTTATTGGCCAGGTGCTATGGCTCATGCCTGTAATCCCAGCACTTTGGGAAGCCAAGGTGGGTGGATCACGAGATCAGGAGATTGAGACCATCCTAGCTAACACAGTGAAACCCATCTCTACTAAAAAATACAAAAAATTAGCCAGGCGTGGTTGTGGGCACCTGTAGTTCCAGTTACTTGGGAGGCTGAGGCAGGAAAATGGCTTGAACCCAGGAGGTGGAGCTTGCAGTGAGCCGAGATCGCACCACTGCACTCCAGCCTGGGCAACAGAGTGAGACTCTGTCTCAAAAAAAAAAAAAAAAAAAAAAAAAAAAAAAAAAAAAAAAAAAAAAAAGCTCTCCTTTATCTTTCCAAGAAAAATCTGTGGCCTCTTGCACAGATTGCTACTACTGGGTTAGTAGTAATAACTCTGGATTAGCACAGAGCTACTACTAATGGGTGCTTTAAGCAGTCACTGCAAGAATGGCAGATGGCAGACCAAACCTGACAACACAGGGGAATGTGACAAAATATTTTGCTCACAGTTGTGTTTAAGTATCATTATACATGTGTATTCACACCTCCTCTCAAAGAATTAATTCAACTATGCCTGGCATCACAGAAACATAGCCCATGCTTTCACCATGTGTTATTTTGCCACTTGTCTTTGGTTTCAATCCAGTACTAATATTGCAGAGCCAAATGATTTATGTCTTCAGCATTCCTAGCCTTGGCAATCTGTACTGTATGTGGAAAAGAAGGTATTAGTGTGGAAACTGACAGAAACACAATTCAGAGATTGGAAAAATAATAACATTACAATAAAAAGCCCTGGCTGTGAAAGGCTGCATGGAACACAGGCAAAAGCCAAATTATGAGTCTTAGGCCCAGACTCAGTCACACACAGTAGTGTGACCTAAGGCATGGAGCTTAATCTTACAAACTTTAGTTTAATCATATGTAAAATATGGAAGATATTAACTCTATAATATCATGGTAGTGATCGTGGCTTTTTTAAACAGTTTTGAGACATAATTCACATACCATACAGTTCACTCATTTAAAATATATAATTCAATGCTTTTTAGTATATTTACAGTGTTGGGGGTAGTGATTGCTTTTTAAGATGTGTGGGTCTTCAGTTTTATTAATTCAGCTATTAATATTTACAACATTTTGGTGCATATATAGACAATACATAACTTAAAAATCCAGTATCTCCCATATCTGAAGGTCTACACAAAGAAAAATGCTGATGGTGACCTACTGACTTCAATACTATATTGCTCTTGGCTGACAATAGAAACTTAGTTACATACTAGAGCAGTAAAGAATAAAATTCAAACCATCAGACTGAGTAAAGGCAAACAACTTCTACTTCTAGCTGTTATTTACTAGCACAATTTCTGCTAGTGTGCAGTAGGGTGATTCTTTTATCAGAGGACCACATAAATCATTTGTAGATCTTGAAAAACAAAAAAATCGGATGATGCATGAGATGAGCTATCCGCCCACTCTAGTGAGATGAGCTATCCAAGAGTGAGGCTTGGGCATGTGTTTTGTTTTAAAGTTCCAAAGGTGATAAGGATGTACACCCCTGGCAAGATTCACTTAATCACTGCTCACCAAATGGATGAACTACCTGGTTGTGTGGCCCTTTCTTTTGTGCTCCAGTTTCCTCATGAGTAAAACCGTAATTCCTAAATGCTTTTTCTTATTCACTAAGTAGCTAGTATTAAAAAGGAATACATGGAAATGCTTTGAAAAGCAAAAGGTACAAGAAATATATAATCTTTGTCATCATTATTAGCTACCCTTGCAACTTACTACTCTATCATAAAACTGGGATCAGAACCAGTTTTGGTACTCCAGCTGGTGAGGCAGATGCTCTGAGCACCAGACATAACAGAAGAGAAAGGGAATGCTCATTTTTATGATTAAAATGAGAGCCGTTATAAAGCAATTCTTATAAAAGTTTCCCTGATACATCATCTCTAGCTTACAGAGTTATATTAATTTTTTGAAACGGGAGGGGTGACTCAACGGGAAAAAGTATCTTTTTTTTTTTTTTTTTTTTTTTGAGACAGAGTCTCGCTCTGTTGCCCAGGATGGAGTGCAGTGGCCGGATCTCAGCTCACTGCAAGCTCCGCCTTCCAGGTTCACGCCATTCTCCTGCCTCAGCTTCCTGAGTAGCTGGGACTACAGGCGCCTGCCACCTCGCCCGGCTAGTTTTTCGTATTTTTTAGTAGAGACGGGGTTTCACCGTGTTAGCCAGGATGGTCTCGATCTCCTGACCTCGCGATCCGCCCGTCTCGGCCTCCCAAAGTGCTGGGATTAAAGGCTTGAGCCACCGCGCCCGGCCGGGAAAAAGTATCTTTTAAGGAGCACGAAGAAGTATCTAAGGAAAGGAGGGAAAAATAGTTCCACAGACATGTTTCCAGTTTTTATACCATAGCACAAAGAGAAAAAGACATTTAAAAACATAACTACAAAAAAAATATTGTCCTATTCGGTTTATATGCACTTCAGATACTTAAAAGATACGCAAAATGCTTAGAACAGTGCCTGGAACATACTAAGTGCTCAACCAATATTAACTTTTATTCTACCCTTTCTTAAAAAAAAAAAAGTAATCACGGTGAAGAGTAAAAAGCATGGGCCTAGGAAAATGGTCCTGGATTCCCTCCTAATTCTTTCCAACTAGCTATGTGACCTTAGGCAAGTCACTTACATTCTAAGGTTAAGTTGTAAGAAATAATGAACATTGGCTGGGTGCCGATGGCTCACGCCTGTAATCCCAGCACTTTGGGAGGCTGAGGCGGGTGGATCCCGAGGTCAAGAGATTGAGATCATCCTGGCCAACATTGTGAAACCCCATCTCTATTGAAAAACAGACAAACAAACAACACACACACACACACACACACAAATTAGC